TTCTTTACTTAATAATGTAAAGTTGGACCCATGTGTTGCTCTATGAGGGGATTTTGATGTGTTTTTCCACAGTGGTTTAAATCTATAAATTGGTCTTATGACAGCAGTAATGACTACTGATTATATATAATAGCAGTGATGGAATTCTAATAACAATGCACTACATACATACTACATAAATGTCTTTTTTGCTCAATTTGGTGAAAATATCACTGGGTAACAGACATTACTGAGCCAGTTCAATAACTTTATGACTTTTCTCTACTTGTGGTACTATTATACTGTGTTTTAGCATCAACCATTATCTCATAATTCCAACTGAAGCCAAATCCAATAGCAGTAAAAAATTACTTCATTTAATACCTTCTAAGACCAGTATGGTGTGTAATGTTAGCTAAGGTTACCAAACTTAGGTTGATATCACTGGGTAACGGACATTACACTGTGTTTTAGAATTCACCATTATCTCATAATTCCAATTAAAGTGGAATCCAATAGAAATAAAACACATTTCTCATTTCTCCATTTAACACTCTCTATGACCAGTGTGGCTAATTTTAGGAGCAAACGTGAGCTACATTTTGTTGTGTTTAGCTGTCCATAGGCTTTCTTTAATGGCCTTTTGCAATTGCTTCCAAGCATAGCCACATGACAGGTCTCAAGTCAGTGAGGAGATGAGAGGGTACAATGACACAGGCTGCCAAAATCCCACCTGGATTGGACAGTGCTATAGGATAAATTAAGTGCTGACACCTTGCCACTGCAACCACCAGCATCTCAGCTGAGACAATATCATGCATCTCTTCACAGCACCATTTGTACCACCCTCTGTCTCCTCTCTCTGTGTCTCTCAGAACTGCAGCTTCCAGTTGCAGTGTAGGCGTTGAGCTCATTCTAGCGTATCGTCTGGCCACAGCACTGCAAATATTGATCTCAGAGCAAGTGGGAGGAATGAGGAAGTAGTCCTGATACATCAGCACATTGTTTGTTTGTTTTTTATCAGACGAAACATGAAATAGAATGAACGTGCGACAGGAAGTGCACAGGCCTTAATATCAGTTCTGCTACTCTTGCTCAATGCCAAACAACCTTTGCTCTACTCCAGATATGATGTGGCTGTGGTCTGAGTCTGATTTGCCATTCATAATGTTAGCTGTGGAGCTGTTAACTTGTTTTAGTCATATCCAATAGCGATAATAGTAAATACATAAGATATCAGATGAAATAGGAAATGGTGCCTTTTTCAAGGGACGGTACTCTGTCATCCCTAAGCACTATGTGTGATATATTAAAGCAACATGACAACATCTATCAGTGTCAGCTGGAAAAGAAACAGTATTTTTAAAATGATCTAGTGAAATGTTGCTGATAAGTGTAGCTGAATGGGAGAAGATTTGGCTACAGTGGCTTATAAAGACAAACAATGAAATAGGCCAGTGTTTGCACACTGTGTGACACATGGAAGTAGACTTATTGAAGTTTCAAAACAGGGGGATGTTTGCCCATTCATTTCCATCTTAAATCTATATTTAACAAGGGCGATGTATATAAAAAAACTCACTCATTATACCACAGGGAGCTTTACTTTGTAGTCTACATAGCATGCAGAGGGAAACTTGTTCAAACTGAGCAAGAGGAGTGCTGTTTACCCAAGCATTTTACTTTGAAATCTATATTTATCTAGCTTGATGCACGCACAAAAAATGTAGTGACAAGGTAATGAGATACAGTGCCTCATCATTACCCCCCAAATCGCCCCTGGTGTATACGCTGCATCGCTGAGGAGCACTGCGTGGAGCGGGACAAATATAGTGACCAAACAGAGGACATATTTTTGCGTTCTCTCTTTGTCAGCAAGGTGGATAGTATATGTATGATCGGGATAGAGTGGAGATCCCCAGGATGCTGCTACTTCTGCAGCAAACCGTACGGGGCCAGCTGGGGCACAGAAATGACTCTGTTCCTCTGCAGGGCCTTACATCCCCTGGCACTCCTGAGGGAGCACTGAGACATTTAGCATCCAGCTACCTCACAGTGGTAATCTGTGAGATTCTTTTTGTGTTGATTTTGGCCACGTCGCCGCAGCTTGGCGGCCAGTGCTGTGGTGTTTTTGCACGCAAATTCCCAGAAATAACTTGGCAATCAAACAGTGCGTCCAGTTCTGCAAATTTTGTTTGCTGTTTTTTTGGACTTCATGTTAATGAAGTTCGACACATTTTTCCTAGCTAACTACCCATTTCTCCTTGTGTTTATCCCATACAAGCTGCAGTTGCCAGAAAAAGAGGATTTTTATCCTTATAATACAGCCTTATATGAACCTGGTACAGATTGATATTATTTATGATTACATCATTCAGCAAGAGAGCAACAAAACAGTCAAGTATTACACAGACCTAGACCAGTGGTGTTGGGCAGCAATCATTTTAGAAAATTGCTTTAAAGCAAACTGCCAGGGAAAATATCATTGTTGATAGCCCCGGGGCCTTTGTGTGAAAGTGCTTGTGTGGGAATGAAGTAAATGTTGAAGAGCAGACCAAGAGACAAGTGCAGGTGAGCGTAGAGCACAGTGACCCCTCCCGGTCAGGGGTCATCTATCGAACCCACCCTGTCCCACCCTGCTACAGTTCACCTCAGGTCTCACCCTGCTGCAGGCTGCCAGCCACCCAGCCTCACACACACTGCACAAATATCCTACCTAATCAGCTCTCACATCCACAATTCAGACTTGTTTTAAAGTGAGAGCTCTAACAGGATTGGATAAGATCATTTTACAGGTAGCAGCTGTATTTACCCTGTTACATGTCTCTACACTGACTTCTTGACAGTTTATTCATACACTCTGTACTTTTGTGCAGTGTCTTCAGCTATAGTGTAGGTTTCCAGATACAGTATAGTACAGTATATATATAGGATTGGAAGATATTATTGCGTATTGTGATAAAAAACAGAGTGAACAGAGAGTGAATCTCTATTAATGAGATAATCATGAATATCCTCATGAGTGACTTTAAAAAGCACAGATATTTGTGTAAAATAAAGGGGGTAAAAGTAAAAAGTTGTCAGAAAAATAAATATTTAAGTAATGTAAGAAAATATTTGTTCCCAAAATGCTGAATCGTAGTTTTGGGCAGGATTGTTAGAGGGTAATTTTTGCATAACATCCCAGAATTCTATCTGGAAGCGGGAGCTGTACAATCAATCTTCACGTCTGACACAGGGTGAGATAGATAAAGAGAGATGGACTACTCCTTTTAAATTCAATTCTACTTTATTACAACTTGGGTCTTATTGATTTTTTGTATATTTGGTAGTGTTTTTACATTCTACATGAGATACACAAAGAGGACTCCAGTGGGACAAAAACATGAGCAGTGAGAAGATCAGACAGATTTTATCCAGTTTGTGAAAATAAAACCCGAGCTGTGATAAACCAGAACCTATAACAAAAAGATTCCTCAGCAGGTGAAAATGATCAGCTCGCCCCTTTGACTGGTAAATGGACCTGTACTTGTATAGCACATTTCTAATCTTCCGACCACTCAAAGCGCTTTTACACTACATGCCATATTCACCCTTTCACACACATTCACACAGGCAAA